TTTAATTCATACAAAGAAGTATATATATGTTTTTTTTTTGTCTTATATATATTTTTACTTTGACTTATAATTAAAATGTTATAGAATTATAATTACTATTTATATAAATAAATGAACATGGTTGTAACTCTACCTGCAGCTTTACTCGAATATTAAATGGGTGCAAAATTTTAGCCCAGCCTAGTATTATAGGCAAAATAATTTTTTCAAACCCTAAAAATATTGGCCTGGGTTGAGCGAGCCATTGAGCCGATGGCCACCCCTAGTGTAATGTCACAATTTTTTTTATTTATCCAAAATAACCTCGCATAATTATCACTTGTAACTAACATGTATCCTACAAGTAATTAAAATTATATTCCAATCAAAATTTTTATTTTTATTACACACCCATTGAACGACCACACACCACTAGTTATATATACCCAAAATCATTTTCCAACAGTTATAGAACACATATGTGTGTACAAATTGAAAACAACAAAACCTTTTGAATCAATACTTGGGCCAAAGGTTTGTGTATGCATGACATTAATGTGGAGGAACTAGAGTTTCGAGATAGATGCATTTAGTAAATATAGAAATATCACCATCAATATAGTTGAAGTAGACAGAGAGAGCAATGACGAGCTCAAGGATCTTGTACAGAGACACAGGAGTAGAGAGAGATGATTGAGGTTGAAAGAGTAAAAATCCAGTGAGAAAGAACTATCAATGTTGGTCATTTGATAATTTGAGCGAAATAGAGGAGTTTGAGTAAGAAATAGAGAGAGCTGAGGCACAACTAGGACAAATCGAGGGAAAGAAAATAGAACGAGGAAATAAAAGAGGAAAAGTTTGGAAAAAAATTTAAGAGCACAATGATTTAGTATAAATAAATAAAATCAAATCATAGATAAAATTTTTCAACACATTTTTTATTAAAATTTAGTCAAATTATTTATATGTATGTCTATGTGTATATAAATATTTTAAAATGTATATTGTTTGTATATTACCCCTTTTATTGTATTTAGTAGATACTATGACTAAAATAAATCTAAAATAGAGATATGTGGTTAGTGGTTTTGAGTTGGTTATGATCAAAGTTAGGGGTTATGGGTGAAAATGATGTTAGTTATAAGATGTGGTTATGAGATATGTGATGGTGGTTATCATCAAAATGGTATGGTTACGAGCCAAAAGGTATTGGTTATGAGATGTGGTTATGAGATATGTGATTAGTGGTTATGAGTAAAGTGGTGTGGTTATGAGCCAAAGAATGTTGGTTATGAGATATGTGATTTGTGGTTATAAGTAAAGTGGTATGGTTATGAGATATATGACTAATGGTTATGAGATATGTGATGTTAATTATGATCAAAGTGGTGTGACTATGAGCCAAAGGGTGTTATGAGATATGTGATTAGTAGTTATGATATATGTGATGTTAGTTATGAGCCAAAGAGTGTTGGTTATGAGATATGTGGGTAATGGTTATGAGATATATGATTGTTGATTATGAGATATGTGATTTTGGTTATGAGCAAAGTGACGTAGTTATGAGTCAAAAGGGTGTTTGGTTATGAGATATGTGGTTATTAGTTATAAGATATGTGATATTGGTTATGATCAAAGTGATGTAGTTATGAGCAAAAGGGTGTTGATTATGAGATATGTAATGTTGGTTATGAGTCAAAGGGGGATTAGTTAGAAGATGTGCTTATGAGCTATATGAGTAGTAGTTATGAGATATGTGATTAATAGTTATGAGATATGTGATAGTGGTTATGATCAAAGTGGTGTGATTATGAGCTAAAGGATATTGGTTATGAGATGTAGTTATAAGATATGTGATTGTAGTTATGAAATATGTTATATTGGTTATCAACAAAATGGTATTGGTTATGAGATATGGTTATGAGATAAATGATGAGAGCTCATAACTAAGTTATGATTAATTTGATTCTAGTTATGAACAAATATGATTTTGGTTCATAACTATAAAAAGTGACCTGCTTACCAGGTCACTTTTAATGATGTAGCTCAATCTGAGCCATTGATTTTCTATGTACCATACATTTTTAAAACAAAATGTACTATAGACTTTCCCTTAATTGGGTAGATGTTGTGGATGGTGAGTGTGATAGGCTGGTGGATATTAAAAGGAATTCACTCTCTAAGTTTTGTTCTCACCAAGAAAATGTGTTATTGTCAGCTGGTTGGCGAAATAATATTACGAGTGTTGGACAAAAGTTTGAGGGTGGTGTGGTTGAGTTCCGTACTTTTTTATGCAAGTATGCTATTGAGGTTGGTTTTCAGTTTACGTATGTTAAAAATGACAAGCTGAGAGTTATGGCAAAATGTGCATATAAGGAATCAAGGGGATGTATGTGGCGTGTGCATGCTTCAGTTGAAAAAACAAATGGGTTCTTCTACATAAGGACTTTGAACAATGAACATACGTGTGGTGTGGCGGTTCGTACGAGTAAACATGCTAGGATGACTTCCAGCTTAGTTTCTGGGCTGATACTTGAAGAGGTAAGTGCAAAACCTTTAACTCGTCCAGTGGATGTTGTGAAAGAAATGAAAGACAAGTATGGGGTCGCAATCAGTTATAACTGTAGTTGGTTGGGGGTTGAAAAAGCAAAAGATAGTACATATGGGGATTCTTGTTTGTCATTTGATCAATTACGGTGGTATTTTGATGAGGCATTGAAGAACAATCCAGGTAGTCGTTTTGAGTTAGATTTTGAAGATAACAAGCATTTCAAAAGAGTGTTCGTGGCTTTTCATGCATGGATTGCTGGTTTCAAATATTGTCGGTCATTGCTTTTTCTTGATGGAACATTTTTGAAAGGACGATACAAAAGAGTTATGCTTGCTGCAACGGAGAAAGATGGGAATGAAGGTAATTGTAAATATATCTAATTTTATCTAAGTATGTGAATTTTCTATACACGTAGGAATTGAGTGAATGTGAATTTTCTCTGGTTTTGGCCACTGTGTGGATTTTCTATTGTTGTGGCCACTGTGAGAATTTTCAATGGATTTTTGTCAGTGTATGAATTTTCTCTAGATGTTGTCATTGTGTGAATTGTATCTATAGGTGGTCACTAAGTGAATTTTCTCTGGATATTATGATTGTGTGAATTTTCTCTGTAGCTGGTCACTAAGTCAATTTTCTCTGGATGTTGCCAATGTGTGAATTTTCTCTGGATGTTGGTAGTGTCAAACTTCTCTGGTTGTTTATTGTTCTATTTTTCTCTGCATGTGTATATCTAATATGCTTATTCCTATTTGTTTTGTAGGTCTTTTTCCTATAGCTTTTGCTGTTGTTGATGCTGAGAATAAAGACAATTGGTGTTGGTTTCTTGAACATTTATATGGAGTATTAGGATCAGAAAGGGTGATAAGTTTCATATCAAATCGACATTAT